CCCCCTCCCCTAAAAAATAAAATAAAACACGAACGGGACGTCGAGCGCGGCTATCTGACACGGCACGGGGCGATAAAATGTCCCTAGTGCTGCATGCATGTGATGGGGCGGGACCTCCGCCGGTACAGTACAGCACGCCCCCGCCGGCCCGGGGCGGCCCTCCTCTAGTCGGTCGACGCCCCCCGGGCGCGGGCGCGGCTCCGCGTGGCACCGCGTGGCACCGCCACCGAGACGCACCCCCCAGACCCCCAGCCAGCCGCCGCCGCCGCGAGACCAAGTCCCCGGAACCCGCAGCATGGCCTTCCCCCGGCCAGGACTGGCCTTCCCCCCCGAGCTCGGGCTCGGACAGGCGTCGCGTCGCTGCCCCATTTTTTGCAGCCGCTGCGGCGGCGCCACCCTGACCTGCCCCAGGAGGCCCAGGCGCAAGCGTTGGCTGGCGGGGCTTGAGCGACACTCACCGCAGTAAGTGTAGATGGCATTGTGGCGGCAGAACCGAACTTGCAGGTTATGCAACACGGCCGGCTCGTGGAGGTACGACAGCGAGGTGAGATCATTTTCGCCCACTAAAATGTCAGGGTTGCGGAGCGGAGGCAGCTGCTTGTCGGGCCCCAGGGCCACCTCCAGCGTCTGCAAAATAGAGGAAAGGGGCTGTTTGGTCAGCGAGCAGTTCGTCGGGTGCGTCGGGTGCCAGCCCCCGCCGAGGCAGGCGGTGCGGCTCCGCGCTATATACTTACGTTGCCGCTGGCGTCCAGGCGCAGCTTGAGCTTGCCGGCGCCATCCTTGTAGTCTTCGAGGACCTCGGCACCCTCCCACACTCGCTCCGGGTTCGGGACCCATACCCGGGCACCCTGCGAACAAACAAAACGGCGGAATGAAAAGTGCGCCACTGCATGGAAACGGGACAGATGATGTGCTGTAAGCAAACATCTCAACTTGTCGATCACATAACAGCATGCGCCATTGCCATTGTTCCACGCCCCGGTAGAACAAAACCATAAGAGTGCAGCCATAGCAGCAAACTCGAAAGGAACGCTAGGGGGCGACAAAAAACGTCCAGAAATGCTACAGTCGGCTACAGTAGTCAGTTTCTGCTCTCGCTGACTGGAAGCCCCTACACGGGCTCGCAAGAAGAACTCTATGCCCGAGTCAGCGGGTCTTTGGCGGGGGG